TACACGACGAAAATACATATACTTTATTTGTTTTAATTGCTCTAATAATACGTTATTAGCAACCCTTTCCTGTTTTAATTGATCATGAAAGTATGTGCTTTGAATCATATTATTTATGTTACCGAGTGTATTCATTAGATCTTGTTCCAAAACACACGATATTCAAACCTGACGAAATCTTGCACACCATCCACGATACTATTGAATGATACTTTTCTTTAAATTAATATATAAAATAACCGTCATGATGACAATATATATATAGAGATAGAGCACATGTGCTTTTGTCAAATTATTTAATTTACCGTGTATTCATTGCATGTTATTATTCCACGGAATACAAGTAAACATGGGTGACAAGTGGCCTTAATTATGTGGTGAAATTTTAGTAATAATATAAAATAATAGGTTAAAATACATATTTATATAGCATGTACGTTGTCCATGAATTTCAAGTCAACAAATTAAAGCCACCGGGCTGCCTTAGTTTAGTAATCTGAATAATGTGACGGGAGTTAAAAAATAATTATAAAAAATTTTCCTTGTTCAATTAGAATAAATAAAAGGTGGAGCGATAAACTGTCATATTGCACAACTTGTATAAAAAATTAAAAATTCATATATTGAAAAGGAGGAAAATCGAGTTACTTGAATAATTGTCATTCATATATATAAATTACTTCATTCAATAACTCACTATATAAATATTGAATTTATACAATTTAAATGTTAAATTTAAATTTATGTAAAATTGGTTGAATTATTGAAATACAATACACATTTTAAGTTATTGGTGAAGTAACTATATTTTTGGAATAACTTGATCTCACTCAATAAAAACAATTTAAAAATTAAATAAAAAATATGCCCAATTATATGACTTGTAGTATAGAAAGATAAAAAAAATATACAAAAAATATATATCATAATTAATTACATTTACTACTTTTATGAAGAAGAAAAACAGAAATATATATTTCTAAAGTCAAAAAAATAATTACGACTTTCATTTATAAATAGGGTTTCTCATTCATACTTTAGATAAAATTTTAAAGTCTACCTATTTCGGTAATCGATTAAAAAAAATACCCTCTCATATAGAAAACCCTTCTAGTATATAATAAATCTAAGATTTAATCAAGAGTCAAATGGATAGCCCTTTCTCACACAGCAAGTTATATTTTCTAGAGCCAAAATAACACCATGCAAACGTTATCTTTATTTCCTTTCTTAATTTAAACAGCATAGGAGAACAACCAAAGCTTAGAACTCTCAAGTTCTATATCTACATATGAAAGCACAAAAAACATTATTATAAAATATGATAAAATATAAAACAAGTAGAACTCGAACATATATGTTTAGTATTTAATTTAGTCCTTCAACTCAGGGTGTTTACGTGGCATTGAAGATGAGTTCGCCATTGCAAGCTCTTTGGTAACTTGCTCCATGCTAGGACGAGATCGCGGGTTTTCAGCCAAGCAAGAAATTGCTACCTTTGCAATTGATATCACTTCTTTAACAATAGGGCTTGTTGGATGAGGGAGACGCTCGTCCAACTTATCCATCAATGTCATGTGATCAAGTGTTGAGGCCATGCCACCCATCGAAGATGATACAAAATTAGATATATCATCACCAGGGTGCCTTCCATAAAGTATCTCCCATGCTAGCACTCCAAAACTATACACATCACATTTTTCATTCACCTCCATTGTGTATGCAAGTTCTGTAAGAAATGAAAAATGTTATCATATGCATATAATATGATTTTTAGTGACAAGGATGAGACTTATGTTGTTGCGAAGTATATATAATTGTAACCAAACGTTCTAGTAATAGATTATTTGATGCACAATTTATCAAAAACTATAAAATAAGAAAAGAAACTTCATTAAATAAGTGGTAAGTTCCACACAATTTTGTAATTTTTAATAAATTTGAGTCGATAATTGAGATTGTATTTTAAAAAATGTGTTGTTAGTGTTTCTTTTTTATAAAAAAGACAATTTAAAAAATAAAGTTATATTCTTGATTAGTTAAATAAAGGAAATGAACCTGGAGGAGCATATCCGAAGGTCCCGACAAATGAGGTCCAGTTGGATGAATTAGGATTAAGAAACTTGGCTGTTCCAAAGTCTGAGACATGAGCTACATAGTCTGAATCCAAAAGAACATTCTTGCTTGATATATCACGATGAACAATTGGAGGTGTGCAATCGTGATGCATATAGCATAAAGCACTTGCAACATCTTTAACAACATTCACCCTTTTAGTCCAATCAAATGCAATTGCTTGTTCATCATCCTTCAAAATCTTCTTGACATCGCCCTTCTCCAATAATTCACACACTAAAAATGAGATTTGTGAGTGTGAACAAAATCCATATAACTTCATGATATTACGATGTCTAATTTCTGTCAAAGCTTGGATCTCACTTGTGAAAGCTTTCAAATTGAGCATTTCCCCATTTGGAAAAGAATGGAGTTTCTTCACGGCAACAACTTGACCTGTAGGCAACGTTGCTTTGTAAACACATCCTTGCCCTCCAACCCCAATGAGATATTTGCTATCAAAATGTTCGGTGGCTTCAATAATATTCTCAAATACCATTTTGCCACCAAAACTCCATATTGCAAATATGTTTGGAGTTTGTGAATGTCTAGGTTGGACTTGTTTTTCCTTTGAAGTTTTGCATAAACCATATACGACTCCTAAAGCAAAAAATGCCAATATGAGTGTGACCACAGTAAGTGGTAAAACTATTGTTATGACTTTCTTTGTCATATTATGATTAGGAGATTTTCCACTTGAGCAAGGCTCCAAGCCAGTGACATTGCCGCACAAGCCTTTATTATTTCTCAATGCTTCAATGGTAACATTTTGAAAGGCTGGAATGTTTGGAAGGGGACCCTCAAGTTGGTTGTATGATATATTAACAGATGTCAAACTTATCATACCATCAAAACTAGAGAGACGACCTGAAAGACTATTGTGCGAGAGATTCAATGTTTCTAAGCCTTTCATTCCTCCAAGAACTGGTGGTATTGTTCCACTCAAAAGATTGCCACTGAGATCAAGACTTGTAAGATATTGCAATTGACTTAGCTCAAAAGGAATATGCCCCTCAAATTTATTCTGGCTCAGATCCATGATCAATAAATTGGACAAATCTCCAAGTTGTGCTGGGATCAAGCCAGTCAAATCATTTGACCCAAGCTCCAAATATTTAAGTTCCTGCAATGATGCTATTTCTATGGGAACATTTCCAGTGAGATTATTCTTGTTGATTGAGAGATCAAACAAGGAGACCAATTTACCTAAATCTCGTGGAATGTTTCCTGTAAGATTGTTTGAGGAAAGGTGTAGTACTTGTAAGTTGGTCGCCCCACTTAGTTCTGGTGGGATAACACCTGATAACTTATTGTTGGAGATCATGAAGCTTGTGAGGCTAAGAAACTTTCCCCACTTAGGTGAAAGTTGACCATGAAAATTATTTTCACTCAAATCAGCATAGTTCAAGTTTGGAAGAACATCAAAGAAATCTGTTATATCTCCAGTTAGATGGTTCTGCTGAAGCCTGAGTCTTTTAAGGCTATAGCAATTCTTCAAACTCTTTGGAATTGGGCCTGTGAAATTGTTGTTACCAGCAGTGAAGAATTTCATTTTTCCACCTGTGCAAATGTTCTGGGGTAGTTGGCCTTCAAAATTGTTATCAGCTAGCTGCAAACACTCCAAAGAAGTAAGCTTGTCCAATTCTTTTGGAATCTCGCCACTAAGATCATTTCCAATAAAACATATCACCTTGGCATTTGTTAAATTTCCAACAGAGGGAGGGATTTTTCCAGTGAGTTTATTTGTGGACAAAGATAACATAGTGAGCTTTGACAAGTTTCCAATATTGAAAGGAATGGACCCAGAGAGTTGATTTTCAAAGAGGTGAATAGACTCCAAATTGGGCAAGGTGCATATGGAATCTGGGATTGGTCCAGTGAGGTTGTTGGTAAATATATCAAATGTGACAAGAGAACGCAGTTTTCCCACATCCTTAGGAATAGGACCGGAAATACCATTGAAACTAAGGTTCAGAAACATTAGTTTGGAGAGATTAGTAAAGGTGTTGGGAATGTTGCCAGAGAGTTTATTAGTGGACAAATCAAGAGTGTTGAGATTGGACAAGTCCCCAATTTGAGGAGGAAGTTTTCCTTTCAAGGTATTGTAACTCATATTTAGATTGTGGATGTTTGGAAGTAATGAGAAATTGAGACTTTGAAGCGTACCTCTTAATCCAACATGTGCAAGGCTTATGTTGGAAACAGAATTGGACCCATCACATGCAATTCCCACCCAATTGCAAGGATTATTGCCAGTCCATGATGAGAGAAAAGCTTGGCTTTGGTTGTCAAGGGTGGCTTTCCACTTCAACAAAGCATTTGCTTCTTGGCTCTGTGATGCTGCTGAAGAAGCAAAGGAAATGGTTGCAAGTGCACAAAAGCACATTGCAAGAAGCACCCAAAAGGGTTGGAGATTCATGGATAGAAGCCTTGGAAATGTGAACACCATGGGGAAATTTTCAGTCACTGTTGTCTGATGCAATCAAATAAGGAGAGATACTTGATTTCTTGCAATCAATGAGATCTTGCAAATACTTATATGCAAAGGGTCAATACATCAACCAGAGTCAAGCAGCATTGTCTTTTTTCTTTTGTGGAACGAGTCAAGAAATAGTGTACTGTACTATATCTAGATCTAGAGATAGTGAGATCCCAGACATGTTACAGCGTGTTTCGAAAGGTTTAAAACAAAAGTTATGAAAAAAATATTCACCGAGTTAAAAAACACTTCTTTTTGGTTACGAAAAGCATATCTTGTTAAAGATATTTTTTATTTTTTATTTTTCACCAACTGTATCTAGATATCTTTTTTTTCATGTTGAATTGTTTATGAAAAAAAAATAAAAATCATTAACGATGTCAACCTCGGTTGTGGAGTTCGGAGGGTACAATACTTATTTTAAAAGTTGATGACAAATTATCTTCGAAAAAAAAACATGTCAAAAATTAGTTATTAAATAAAATAATTATAAATCTTTTTATATTTTAATGAACATATTAAAACTTAAATATTCAAGATAAATAAATAAAAAATTTCTGGTATCGTGATTATATGATCTCAATTATGGTCATTATATGCTCTAAAAAAATATATAGTCATTATATAACATAAGTTCTAGAAAATATAAGTCTAACTAGTACACGACATTCAATTACGTATACAATAATTTAGAGGAATTTTATTAATTCCTTGGAGTTTTTTATACGATGTTTCATGTTAGTTATGTTAAATGATTTAATATTACAAATTTAGTGGGAGTACAAGAAGTGATAAATTAACAATACGAAAACATAGTGACATCACTCATATCAATATATCGCAAGTCTCTAATGAACCAAAAAAGTTATACCTAAGTCTATAGGTTGGTGGCTTATTGCTTTGAACGCGTATACAGCACGGTGGTAACGAGCAGAAATTTCCAAATTACAATTTTATATACTTTAAATTTTATTTTAAAAAAATTAAAAAAATTATGCAAGATTGTAGCTCATTTAATTGAATAGTGTGTTTGAATTATTATAAACTTGTAATTCTTGAATTAGACTCTAAAAATAAAAAAGAAAAAAAAATTAGAGCGAATTACATTTTTAATTTTCTTGTTGTGATGATTAGTGTTAAAAAATTCACTTATTATGATTCAATCAATGATTTTAGTCATTTAGCTTTTTATTTTACTATTTTAGTTCTTAATTTTATAAAATTTAATTGATCTAATTAAATCATCTAAAACTTTAAATGTCAGATGATTTCTTTTACTCAATCCAAATGATTATCACTATGGAAATTTGCAAACGAAGGAGAAGACGCTGTTAGCAAACAAACTCTAATATATTCAGATTCAATTGTTTTTTATTCGTACACTCAATGTATTATTTCTATTTTTTACCAAAAATAAAAATATATGTCACAATTTATTATTATTATTATTTTTGATAAATTTCACATAATAATAAATCTTTGATTAGAAAAATTTGCTGATAAATATATTATTAACATTTTTTATTTGTAAGATATCCGAAAATCTTTAAACACAAAGAAAAACACAAAAACAAATCACTCCCAGTGAATAAATTGCAGTAATGAAAAAAAAAAATTATTGAAAAAAATATAAGTCCCACATCAACTAAATATTGAATAATTAAATAGTTTATAAATAAAAAGCAACTTTCACTTTACAAGTTGATTTTATAAGGTTGAATTAGGTTTAAATTTACTATTCTAAAATGATATCAAATTATAATCATCCATCATTTATCCACGTAAGAATTAAATTAGACTCAAATTCACTATTCTAAAAAAATTAATTATTTTTTTTAATATTTATGTTATTGTTATAAATATCACTAAAATTAATAATTAATTTTCATCGAAGATTTTAAATACATATATAAGATAAATATTTTTTTAGCATAATTTATTTCATATTTAATATTAAATTCGAATTTTAAGCAATTTAATTAATAAACATAAACAGTTATTACTTCTGGCAACCAATGTCGGTCAATATAATTGCTATACTTTAATAGGAAAAATGCTATGGAAGATATTTACAATATGTATTTCTTTTATCCATGATTTTCATTTTTCTGAACTTTACTTTTAAAATCAATATTCCTCTCTTAATTTGTAATTCTTATTCTTTTTCAAACACACCTCAAATCAGTACTTCATATCTAAAGTAGAGAAAGGTGGATAATTTATTTAATCTAAAACTCAGTTACATCGCTAACAACGTACTGTTTGGCTCCCCTGATGACGAAAGTCTTTATACACAAAAACGAACATCGAATATTCCTTGAAAATAGCGTCTGCCATTTTTTTATTTCGACCTCCAAACACTAGTGCTCCACTTACAATAGCAAATTTGAAACCTTCATATTCCCTAAAATCAACTTCATGGCCCCACATAGCACAAATTGCCTCAGCTTTTTTGGACTAATTGGCCTAAATAGTTAGACTGGTAAGGTTCGTCCAACACCAAATATGGCACCTAATCTCCACTATCCTTTTCATTACTTGGTCAATAATCGAGGCCTATCTTGAAATTATTACTCACTGTTTTATTTGTCCTGTGAAATTATGATTTTTAATTTTATATAATGTATGCTGGTATGTATGTTTAAAATTATATATTTTGATAATTTTATATATGTTATTTTTATTTATATAAACATATATTTTAGTTTAGTCTATTTGGATACAAGGAATAAGTTCTTTAGAGAATTTATCTATTAAAAATAAAATACTTTTAATAGAAAAACTCTAAAAAATATTTCTAAACACTGATATTCAAATTGATTTAACAACATCTTTTATTATATTTTTACATTAAAATTAATATTGCATTTCATGCTATGTTCACGTAGAAGACAACAGTAACTTATAATATATATATATATATATATATTTGAAGTTTATTTATTTATTTTTTTACTAAAAATAAAGTGATATTTTTAATAATAATAAAAAATAAACTCCCAAAATTACTTATAAAATTCATATTGCGTAACATCTTCAGTTTGATTCAATAGGTTGATGCATCTTATAGTTCGAGCGCAACAATGTTAATGGCCTAGCTAATAGCATATTTTATTTACTTTTTTAATTGTTTTAGTTGATGCATGGATGATGGAAGCATAAACTTTTGGTTTTTTTATTTATTTTTTTATATTTTTTGAAAGAGTGGACGCAGCCAAGGCTACGTACGTCTTTCAATTCTTGAACCACCTCTCTGACAATTTGGTAAGTTTCTATCCTGCACTTCTGATTAGAAAACTAACCAATTTCTGATTAGAAAAGCCTGTTTTTTAACTGATCTCATGAACATAGTTTGTTAAATTTGTTTCTCAGTAATTTATCAAGTGTAGAAATATTTTGTGACAACAAAAGAACCTTTATTTCATAAATATAAATTGAACCATTAAAAACATACCCCATAGCTCAAACCATGTGTCTATTTGTTGGAATAAGAACTGGTCACCCCATTAGACACTAGTTGTGATTTATAGAAATAAGAAAAACTATTAAAAAATTAAAAATATCTCATGACTGGTATGAGTATATACCTAATTTTTAGTTTCCCCAACCAAATTAGTCATTAGCTTGTAATGGTCCCTAGTAATATATGTTTCACCAATATTATAACTGTGAGTTAACTAGCTTTCTGATTTTATAGGATGTATTAGTTTGGTCCCATCCAAATAAAAGTGGATAGATATCTCATGCATCGTAATGTATTGTTTCGCAGATGCCGAATTGTTGTGCATAAAATTATTACACATATATTTATATTTTTAAATATTGTTTATTTTTGAATTAAATCCTTACGATTTTATTTTTAAATACTACCTAAAATATTTATTTATTAATAAAAATAATTGTGTCTATATAAATACATATCCATTTCAACAATATGATATTTCACTTACATTCCAACACGAACTTCATTAATGAATTCAAAGTCACTGTTTCAAAAGTTTTCATTAGAATTGTATTTGATATTAAGAACATAATTATTTTTATTCCTTGCATTTTCTTCTTTACATATCTAAATAAAAATTCCATATGCATTGTTTCCTAGATATGCCCCGAACTTCATTTTCTTTCAATAGAATTAATGGAAGACGCAGCCTGTACTGCGTCAACATTTTTGAAAAGAAAAAAAAAAACTCTAGAAGCTAGGTTTTCCATGCATCAATAATTAAAAAATAATTAAAATAGAAGACAAATAAAAAAAATGTTATTAAATCTTGCACCATATATTTTAAAACAAAAAAAAATGTTTCATACAAAGTGATATTCACATGAAAGACGCAGCATCCTATTGCATCATATCTTTCCTATTACATCAACTAAAGATGTTATAATTAAGTTGCTACCTGTTGCATGTAAACTTCATGCAAAATTTAGTAGGAGGAACAAAACTTTAATGTTAAAAATAAAATAAAAAAATAATAACTACGTGAAACAAAAGATGTAAATATATGTGTCACTTAGTATCGGCAACAATAAAGAGGATTATTGTTTTAAATCAACCTTATTTTAATAAATAGTTTATAAATCAACCTTATAATTTGAAAACTGTAAGACAGATTGCTGTTAAGTGTAAGCCACATGACTTCTAAATCTCTTGAGAGCCATATATCCTAAGATATGAACTACATTCAACAACGTACAAAACAGTGATTCCAAGTTGCACACTATTCCATATTATATTACAGGGTTACCCTTTTCCACATTCCAATTTCGAAGTGATAAGGATAATGAAGAATCTGATTGTGGAGGAAGTTGCAAGTTTCAGGGTTTATTGAGTGGCCGTGTAAGTTCAATTTCAAAGTCACGATTAGGTTTGGCATCATTACGACAAGTGAGTGTTGACGCTGGTTGTCGTATTGGATTTTGATGGACAACTATTTACTAAACTAATCAATTTGTCGTATAATATTGTCTTGAAAGTTGCAACTTGTGTTTGAAATTTTGTTGCGAGAGGAAAGGACATCGAAAGCGTGTTTGGCACCAAACCCGCCACCTCACCAGACTTGACAGAAGGGAACGTGTATGCTTCAGTGGTAACTGGTGAAGGAATTCTTTTACTTTTGTATTTTTTATTTTTTTACTTTTAATAATA